TTAAGCTTTTTTTTTTTTTTTGTAAATTTTGATACCCTTTAGATCATGATTCCTCTTTATTTCATAAATTGCAGTTTCATATTTTTAATTGTATTATTTCTGCATGCCATCTTACCAGATTTAAATTGATGATATATAATTCGGAAAAACCCCTAATCCGGAATCGCCGAAGTCTCGATGAGTCCAGATTACAAACTTTGTACTGTACAGTCAAAAATCGTTAATCCGGACTCGTCGGGACTTCGGCGATTCCGGATTATAGATCATCAGTTTAAATCTGGTAAGATGGCATGCAAAAATTACAAAATATGAAACCGTAATTTATGAAATAAAGAACAATTATGATCTAAAGGGTATCAAAATTTACAAAAAGAAAAAGCTTAATATTTATTTGTTTACTTTATTAAAACATTTCCTTCAATGTAAGTTGCTTCGTTTCATGTGATAATACTTTCTCTTTAATTCTATTAAACAGACATAATTTCTCGTTTAGTTACAAAGTTCCGCTGTTCAAGTCCTATAATTGCTGTGTTGAGAATACCCGAAATCTTTTCATTTTCAATAACCTCTGGGTCACTTTCTTCACTATCGGAAGCGAATTATAATGACGAGGAACTTGATTTAAATCATATCAAAGACTCGAGACGAAATACTAAACTTAGTACCGAATTATAATCTAAATAAAATAAAAACATCTGCTCTGAAGATAAGGATAGTGTTGACAGATCAACTTCCAATCCGCAGCGTGAAATTCATAAACAGATTTCGGAATTCAAAACATACTTTCGCTTTGTAGATACAAATTACATATTAGTAAATATATATTGGAAATTCTATTTGACATAATCTTTCTAATCTATCATAATCTAATAATGACGTTTCTGCCCCCACCTCTGCCGCAGAGCAGCATGAAATTGATAAACAGATTTCGGATTTCAAAACATACTTTCGCTTTGTAGTAAATATATATCGGAAATTCTATTTGACATAATCGAAAGTTCAAGCTTACTTTTATAAAATTGCTCTAACAGTCTGCAAAAAATAAGGGATCGCAACGCAAAACATTACTTAGCGCGTATAACTCCGGCGCATCTTACGCGCTCTCGTAAACGCCTGTGCGCATGCGTGAACGCGAAGCATGCGCAGAAAGTTTGTAGCTTTGAGGTCCGGATTATAGATCATTCCGGATTATGGGTGTCCGAATTAACGACTTTTGACTGTATACGGAAAAATGATACGAAAGTATGCCTCTTAATTCCCTTTTGTATTTTCTGTCTATTCTCAATTTAAAAAAAAAACTTCCCTCGTAACCTTTTTTTTTATTATTTTTTTTTATTCACCCTCATAAATAATTGAAATTGTGCGCAGTATAATATTGCTTTGAGGCTCGCATGTGGCCCTTCGCTGCCAATCTGAGACCACTAATATACCATACTGTTTGGAATATTTAAGTTAGCTCTTGTTGGTATTCCGTGATAGCTTATTTTAATAGGTCTTGTTTACAGAGGACGAATTTCAAAAGCAGGCAACATCTTCCTGATTGAATTTCCACTTCTCAAATTTTCGAAGTGTGATATCAAAAATAGCACATATTTTACAAGCAGTATGACTGGCATTTATTCCTTTTTAAAATCAAAAAGTGTAATATGATGAAACTGACCCAATTTTTAGAACTGCATTAAAAAATTATGCCATATGTTATAATTAAGCAAAGTGAATCGAAAAGGCCATAATTAAACATCTGCTTTGACAGAGATCACTCAATATCAGCAGTAACAAACAGAAGAAAAACACTTCAATTTGAAAAACTACATAAGTTTCTAGATGACCCAATATTTGAAAGGAAAAAAAAAAAAAAAAAAAAAAGATATATACGTAATTAGAAATTTCATTTTAGAACAGAACTTATAAATCGTAAACTTTGTGCCAGAATTTGTCACAATAATTCCCAAGCTGATGTGATAAAACAGCCATAAAACAAACATGATTAGTCAAGTCCAAAAATTAATTATCCAATTCCTGAAAAAATTACATTTTTCATAGAAAAAAGGTTTACTTCCATTCATGTCCTAAACAAGAATTTCAAAAGAACTAGAACAGCAGATCACTGAAAGTACAGAATGTGGATGAAAACAATTGAATCAAATAAGTGATCACATGTACATAAACACCTAACAAGCCACAGAAAAATTGCTATCCGAATATCAAATATCCTTAAGGCCTGCATCAGGTGCAACTCTCAACAGAAGTCTCCGAGAAGCTGGTTATAATGATCCTATGGCCCAAAGAATGGCTTTCATAAACATAATAAAGGGACATATGCTGCATTATGATGATCCAAAATTTCTGTAACAATTTTTCAACAATGAATAAATTACATACATTTTTGGATGATGGCCAACTGTAAACTGAATACAAAAAACACTACATCCATATTAAAATATAAAGATAATTTTCTATTGGATCTATACGACAATTACATGAAATGAAAACATAGTTTATCAAAAGATTAAGAGAGAAAAAAATATTTTGTTAAACCAACATGAAATTCCCCCTCCCTCATACAGCAGTAATTAATAGTAAAGTCACAATTTCTTGCCACTGCATGTTAATACTTTAATGACAAAATATGTCAACAGGTATTTTATCTGAAATTATGACATTGAAACTATTCTGATGTTTGCAAAAATGCATTTTTTTTTTTTTTTTAAATTTAAAGGAAAAATTTACTTAACTTAGAAGTTATAATAATTAGAAACTATGATCATCTTCTTTCCCATTCTTTAAAATGCCTCTGTTTACACAAAATGGCAACTAGTTTTTCCAAAGAAAAATTTTTATTTAGAATATCAGTTTCCATCATTCACTGCGATATCGTGGTCGAGAAAACTGGGTTGAACCACCAAATTACAATAAAACTCAGCTTGAAAAAAGTGCTGTATTAGAAAAAAGTATCTACATAACCTTAAAAAAAGTACTGCATTACTATAAATTTTCTTGCAGAATTCATGCTACGAACATACATATCAACTGCCCTCTTTGAGAAAAATTGATTCATCATGATCTTCAACCTTCTAAATCACATTTAATATATGTAAGTGCAATTAAAGATAGAACGGAAAAGTTCTGGTTAAAAGGAAATATGTAAAAATGCAGGTGTCTGCTGAATTTTTTGAGCCAATATATTTACTTAACACACAATAGTTATTACAATGTTTACATGATAGCTTAATTATGATATAATTATTTCACATCTTTAGCCAATCATGTACATTCCAGAAAAAGAAAAATAGAAATATTACATATAACCACAATAAATTATGAATTATAAGTCTATAGGCATAAGTTAACAATTAGGAACACATTTACCATAACAAATACTTAGTTATTTTGAACGAAAATAATGATTTTAAACATTTACACATGTGGTCTAACCCCAAATTTGAGAGAAAATATCTTTATGCTAAACTATAACAGAATCAGAGGAATCAACTTTCTACTATTTCTACTAGTTAAAATATGAGCAATAAAAAGCTACTCCCGGCTAATCTTTACTGTACAGTATTCCTCCCTTTTTTTTTTCTGAAAAAAAGGCCAAACGATAATGGTTGTTCGTGAAATCTGGGTACACCTCTGTTATCAGGACCAGATTCAAAAATGTGCGAGTGTATGTATATATGTTATGTGCATTTATGTGTATATGTATAAGCACATACATTTGCGTTTACATGAATACATACATACATTTTTGGATCCAGTCCCCTCTGATAACAGAACAGTACCAGAGATGCGGAGACATCAATGGCAAAAATGCTTCGGAATGGATAAACGTTGAAACAATAAAATGAGCCATGTAGTGAGCCTTTTGAATGAAAAACAAATTATTTGTAGTAAAACTTGTAGTAATGAGAGCAAAGCTGAGAAAATTTGAGAATTAGCCAAGATGAAGCCTTGGTTTTGGATTATTCTGATTCAGGAAGAGCACACAGTAGCTATCTGCCTAAGAGAAAACTGCAGCTATCTATCTGTCCAAGAGATATAAAGCTTTGAAGATGACCTTTTAAAGGAAACTGGCTCATATTCACACTACACGCTCAGGAAAAAAAAAAAAAATTACCATGCAATCAGTCTGTTTCCAGGATTTAAATCCTGGTTGAAATACCAGTATTTAGTGATTTTAACACTCCACCATTTTTCACCAATGAAATATTGAATACAACTTTTCAACTTTAAAAGCAATATCCTGATGCTTTTCCAGTGGATTTCTTGAGAAGGATAAAAAATGACATGATAGTGCAGTGGCTGGTTAAAGTTAGTTATAAAACTGCCACAAAACAACAGACTTGAAATAATAATGTTTCATAAAAATACATTGAGAAATTTGAGTATGTTCTGCAATTTGCATAAATTTTGATAGAGTATGTTTATTCAGTTTTTTCGGAACTATTTTTGGTCATGAAATAAAATTTCGTAGCATTATTTAAGTAACTGAAGGAAATAAATTTTATTTAGTAATAGTAGTACTTGTGCACTTACTTTTATAATTTAAAATAAACAATTTTAGAATGGTTAATGATTTGCTGGAAGAAAAATTGGTACAATTTGAAATTTTGTCTCCATTAATTGAGTTTTTGATTATACAACATAGTTACAATCCCACGTCAGATAATTGAGGTTCGACTGTAAAATACAGCGAAATTAGAAAAATGTTTCCTATCATAAACACTTATTTCTTGAGCTGTTTCATATGAAACCTCAGTTTACTACTGTAAATTCAACAACACTACACACATATCAGGACCAGATTCAAAAATGTGCGAGTGTATGTATATATGTTATGTGCATTTATGTGTATATGTATAAGCACATACATTTGCGTTTACATGAATACATACATACATTTTTGGATCCAGTCCCCTCTGATAAATAATAATTCTCTGAATAATAATTCACAACAGATTCAGAAAGACATTTAACATTCCTAATTCTTCCATTTTTAATCTTCAGGCAGTAACAAAATTATCTAACAAATAATACATATATATTAGTGCCTGCAAAGTTGTTTGTTCCTAGCATTTTTGGAAAAATACATATAGAGATTTGTGAATCTGCTCCAGGTAAAATGGCCCAAGAGCATTTAAAATATAATATTTATAATTAAAATACTTAAAACACATTTTCCCCCTTCTTTAAGCAATGTAATCATCCACTATTAGAGATTACAGAATATAAAAATTCGAATCACATACTTCTTAAGCTCGTCCAGTTCATAGCACTCATCTTGCAAAAGATCGAGGGGATTGACTAAGCATTGAATGGGGACGCAGTTTAAAGCTCCTTCGGCCGAACGGTTGTTGTAAATGTGGCTTTGTACTGTAATTCCATCGGCCGAGGAGTAGGATACAGGAACTGATGATGCCGATGAGGAAAGAGGTATTATTGTCAATTCGCTTGACAGTCGGGAGGTAGGCGAGGCGACTGATGAGTTGGCAACGGCTGAAGGCGAAGCATCCCCATTTTGGGTACTGCTGCCTCCATCTGTAACCCCATCTGTAGAAGAGTTACTGCTACTGTGGGGGCGGGAATAAGACTGTAGCTCTCCTTGCTTATAAAAAGGCTGGAGTGGAGGAGGTACATCAGTCTTTGACACTCCATTTGGAATTGGGCCATGGACAGAAGCAGGGTTAGAGTCCTGATCTCGTTCAATTCTGTCTATGGTTTGTAAAGATGAGCAGACATTTGGATTATAATGAGGTATATTGGGGCGGATAGAGGAAGTCGATGGTCTTCCGAGCTCTGCATCAAGGCGGTCCATTTGGTCAAACGCTATAGTTATTTGTTCCTTTGTTATTCCACTGTTCCGTAATCTCCTCAGTAACTCAATTTGTTCGATGGTGAACAAAGCCTCTGACATTTTTGTAGAGATGTTACCCACTCTGTTAGGCATTAAGTCTGTTTTTAATATCCATCACACCAACTGAAATCTGAAAAAAATATATAGGATTTTTAATAGAGAAACGCACATTTTGAATCCATTTTAAACAATAATATAAACATAATTAACACTCACAAAACTATTTTTTGATTTGAAAACATTTTCAAATCAAAGCATGATTGGGAAAAAACTATAACCGATATTACTTACTTGATGCAGGTTATAAGAAAAATTTCAAAATAAGGAAAGAATTCAAGTATAAGTTCCTGTATCTCATACTTAAAAGTTTTGTATATAATTTTCAGTTGTATTCTTCAATCAAATTTTGTATATATTTCAAATGGTGTACATTTCCAGCAATTTTAACAGAGAAAATTTAATTTCTGCTATTTGTGATGATTAAAATACTTGTATATTATCAGCAGCACTCTAGTAAATGTTAGATCATGAGAATGTATCGGACGTACAGACTTAGTGATCTAACATCTGAAAGTACAGGAGCAAATAAAAATTATAACATATCTCACAGACTACAAAATTGAGAAAGCATACCAAATGAGCATTTAACTTAATGTTAAACGTGGAATTGAAGATCCAATTTTGAAAGTATATTTCTTTTACATTTGCAAGTCTCTCACTATTTGACTATCTTTTCAAAATGATTTACATTGCTTCCTACTGCAGCTTTATTTTACTGTAATTGCAAATTTTTAATGCATTAAAAAATTAATCTATTAAGAAACACAAAATAAAAACAGATTTCACATAATGTATTTATCTAATTACTTTTGCCAAATAAATAATTATGATTCAATAAGATTAAATAACAAGTAATAACTTAAATAATTGTTTCCATTGAAGCATGATACACTTTTATTGAACTGATTTTTAAAACAGGAACAATTTTTATTTTGCTTTATTTCAGAAAGTAAATATGATACACATGATCAAACTGCATGTTAAATTAAATCTATTCAATATATATATATATATTCTGCAATAATTTGCTATAATTCTATAAACAATCAGTCTGCAGCTTAAAAAAGTATAATCACTTAAACAAAGATTAAAATTTAAATTTAAAAATCAATTCACCAATCCAGAAACACTGCAGAAAGCAGTTTTCTCCAACTGATGCTAACCATTTGAATCTGTTGTTGTTGGGACTTATCCCACCCGATCAGGTCTCTGGAATCAGAGCAAGCCCACAAAATTCATCGTGGCAAGGAGTCAAGATTCAGCCTGTCATTGACAAGAGCTTTGGGCACCATACGGGTGACAGTATGACTTTGTCCAGTTTTGATGTCAATATTGATCTGAAAATTTGAAGACGGGTCTCCCACCCCTCTTCCCCTACCACTCAAGAGGACTTCCGGCTTGCTGCATATTTAGAGTGCTTCCATGCTGCACTTTACATTTACAAACATCCATGCCTTCTCCAGGATTCAAATGCAGGCCCTTCAGTACGGCAGTCAGCGTCACTAACCACTATTCCGGTTCGGCAACCATTTCATTCTACCCATTGTATTATGTATACAGGTATGCATCAGTTTATACTTTTATTCTTTTTATATAAGTAAACCAATCTTTTAATGAAAATAAGCTGCTTTGATGACTTCTTTTCCTAAATTAAAAAAAGATTATGAAAAATCAGAGGCATGTATGGATAAAATAGAAATTACCAATACACATTAAAAAAAATGTAAGCTAAGGGAAATAAAACATTTAGAAATATTAATACTACTCAGTGAAAAGAATGCAGGCCTAACTAGGTCACTAAATTCAAAGGATGAGTACTCCTTTCCATGCCTGGAACATGTTAAGATATACAGAGTAAGCCAGCTGAAGTATGGGTAATTGTAATCAAAATTTTTTAATTGAAATATTCTGATTCTTTTATCTAACTTATATATTTATAAAAGTTTCACCTCACATCAAGACACACGAGAAAAAGATTTTGAACAAAAAGTGAAGACACAGCCTCACCACATCCAAGTTTCTCAAACTGCATAAAAATCTCAGAACTATGCATAAGGGGTGAAACGAGAGGTCGAATTAGCAGAAGTTGTTAAAAGGGGACATGCGCACACTCTTATAACTTGTTTTTATATTGTTGTCTATGCTTCATCATAATTCAATCACATACCTGTTCATTAGTCTATAATCCACGTTCTCATTTTCCAGTTGTTTATGGCACAAGTACCCATTTCTAGCTTGTTTGCGGAGCTGCTGTTGAAAACTGTTTCCAATAACATATAACGGAATCAGATTCTTCTGAATTTATCGAAAACCCACCAACGGGAAAACAGCTAATATACCACGACCTTTTCAAGAGGTATGTAATAAAAAGAGCAAGGGTGAGTGGGCTATGTAAACCACATTGTTAAGAATCGTATGTGCAGAAATGATTGTAATGTGAGTAATATTAAAGAAAGTTCCTCCCTCCATAACTTTCATAAAATTAATATCACCCTAGAATGTTCAAACCAGAAATATGTAAATTTTGCATGCAGCCATTCTAGGGCTGTATTATTTCTCTTCGGCGAAAAATTATTAATTTGTGTATTAGAAATTAGGCAGTTTTAGGGAGAACTTTTCCCCTTTCTGCAGGGAAAGAAGTGGTACTTATGTATTCTTCCGACGATCATTGGTGGAAATTTTAGCAACAGTCATTAATCATTACTGAGGAATTCTAAAGCACATAGTCATCCATAATTGGCTCTAAATCTCACGGTACTTTTGCGTTTTGAAGGCGCAAACAATAAAGTCACCAACAATGGTATAGCCGATACCAAACACAATATCTTTGCTGGTAACCTTTTACGCCTTATTTTCAAAACAAGTCGCAGCCATTTCTTATCAAATTGATCGTTTCTTTCAATACTGGCATACAATTACATAGAATTTTTACAAGATAGTTAAATTTTATGCCCTAAGACCATTTGCGGTAATTAAATCAATTAGAATGCAATCACACTGCTCACCCGAAGGCGAAAATAAAGAAAAGGCAAAATCAAGGGTTAAGTTCATCCATTCTAATGAGAATGCACTAGCGAAGTAAAGCACTGCGGTTTTACATAACTTCTGACTAAGCTATTCGTACGAATTGAAATAATTATTGCATTTAAACTTGTATTCCAAATAAAGATTTAACTTAAAATTAATGTAGAGAATTACTGAGAGAGTTAGATTTTTGTCGCGTAGTTTACGTGATATGAGATAACTTGGGGTCATGTGATACGAATCGTCGAAACAGGATGTTGAGCCATGAAAGCATAGAAAGTTTTTAAATTACTGTCTTTTTACAAAATTTTAAACCATATTAAAATGTTTATGCCTTCAAAATAAAAAATTCTTAGAACTAACGTTTGTTAACATTTTTTATGTGTATACTGTATGTTGTCACCAACAAAGTCTGCTTGGCAAGATTTGCGCCGGCGAAATGGAAAAGTACAAATCGCACTACATGACTGATTGACGAGATAATACCAAAAAAAAAAAAAAAATCATTAATTTAAGCATTTTAATTAGGACCATTTGAAGAGTGTGACTATATTTCTGGGTACTTTAAATTTGTTTTAAATTTCTGAACAAGGAAACCATCAAGAAATGAATGACAGACATTTGCTTGAGAATAATTTGCCAGGGTGCACTACAGGGGGTAGAGCAATATTACACTCAGATTGGGAAGGACAAACAACAAATGGTCAAGCCTATGTGGGCACTGAACTCACAACCTTATGTTTGAAATGATATATAAATGCTGCTAAATAGTACATTGTTCAAACAGATAGATTCCAAGAAAGGCAGTATATCAAATGTTTATCATTAATATGCCACAAATAAATATAATGCATCCACAGAACATATAATACTGTGAACTGTATAAACAATACAGATGCGGGGGAAAAAAAAAAAAAAGAGTTAAAGCAGCACAGATCACATTCAGGCTCAATACTGGAATCCCAAGTTACATAAAAGTATTCATTCTAATACTCGAGTCCCAAGTGTATAAAAAAATATTTCTGTTTATACATGACAAAAGCACGTTTGTTTCTATTATACAGGATGTTCACGAATTCGATTGACAAATTCAGATGAGTGATATTATGTATCAAAAGGATGAAAAACTGCTATAGAACATGGTCTTGCACACCGCATGCAGTGGGGATTTTTGGACAACAACATATGCACATTATGCATGTTTTTCATGCCTTCTTTTGTAAAGCAGGTTTCATCTGAGAATAAAATAAAGGCGGGAATCTGTAAAAGTCATTCTGTGTGGCATCAAGCATCCAGCATACAGCATACAAGCTCTATTCGAAGGGGATAATCGGCATTATTTAAAAGTTGGACCTTCTGCAAGTGAAAGGGTTGCATGTTTTTTATATGCAGAAGCTTCAACACCATTTTGTCCTGAATATCCAGTCCAAGTGCAACCGATCATGTACTGGTCCATGGGGAAATAGCAAACCATTGCAATATTCAATTTTCAGTTTCAGCCGTGTGCATACTGCATCCCTGCCCTGCATTACGTCTCGTTATTTGGAAGCATTGGAATACTTGCAGAAAATTTGCATACAAGAAGGTTTCTTCTCGACTGCTGCTTTTATTTCTCCCATACACGCCGGAAATTTTCACTGCTTCTTCTTGACTGCAGTGCTTCAAATCCTCATATTTGTTTGGCCACCTCTTTGTCAAGTTAATTGTCATCTTGATATCTACTTTTGCTATTTATACCCACTAAATATGATTTGCAACCCCATGTTCGATGGCAAGGAAATTTTCATCTCGTTTTGCAATTTTGAAATGTTTGGAAACTGACAGCATTCTTATCTCCCCAAGTCTTGTTTGTATAAAAAAAGTTTTGCAATAAACACCAACAGTATTAGTTTTGATTAAGTTTAATTGATCATCTTACAGCAACAAACTGATTTTGCTAAATTTCTCGAATCAGTCACATACACTATGTCATTTTTTAATTAATTAACCCGAGTTAAAAATCATTATCTTTCATTTTCAGGAACTGCACTGAACCAAAGAGTACATAAAATCTATCCAAACATGCACTTTTAGATAACGTGAACTTGCAAGTTAAGTAGTAAACTAATAAACTATCTTCATCATTTTCCAATGTTAAATAAATACCTCAATTTTGACATACCTTTTGATTTTATTAACTGTTCGATTTCTCCCTGCCCTGCTATATTCACAAATAAACCATTAGTTGCAAAACCTTTTAAAGTTAAACAAAAGAGTTTACTGTGAAATAATTCATATTTAAATTACGAATTATCTTAAATAACACAATAAATATGAATGTTTTAAAGAACTAATGCATCAAAGTTTTGAATACTTTATCAATCACCATTACATCATAAATTTGATAATCCCTCACTACTCAATTAAGCATTAAGAGAACAAATAATGGGATAAGTGTAAAAATAAATTAATAAATTTTTAAAATAACCATTTTAAATTTAACACAATTTGATTTGTCTCACATAAAGAGATATGCAATAACACAAATATCTCCACATGTATTTCCTAAATTTGTAAGAGCTAAATAACACCAATATTTTTTTCAGATATGCACTCAACGTAATTATGCACATATGCTTAGCAGTAAAAACAAATTTTACAATGATATCAAAATAATTAGTACAAATTCTGACATAATTATAACACAATATCATCAAAAAAATTATAGCTTTAATTTTTGGCAGAATCTAAATATTTTCAATTTAACACAATTGTCTCAAATAACAGACATACAATAACACAAAAATCTGCATACAAATTTTCCGAATTTAAAAGATCTAATTAATAATTTTTCAAGATGCATATTTATTACAAATACACATGCAAACTTGGTAATACAAGCGAATTTTAAAATATTTAAATAATTCAGTCCATTGCTAATTTACATAATACAGTATTAAAATATGTTTATTCAAAAGAAAATGGAACAGCTATTACAAAAATATTTATCCAATAAAAAATAAAACAGTTATTATTATACAATAATTATTACTTTCATGCATAAACAAAATAAATTTTATTACGATATGCATGTGGAAAATATTTTAAGAACCTAAGCAGATGTAAATAGGCAGCGTTATAATCAAATATATTAACATCGAAATGCAAGGTAATATTATCGATAGTAAACTAAAATTTTAAAATAACATCATCATTTTGGCTGTTTAGCCACCACCCTAAAAATGGTTTCTTCGTAAATCAGATTTTAATCCGAGCGAGTTATTCCTCCATTTACATGGTTAAAAAAAATTAAGTTAATAATTAATAAAATCCTCTTTATTTTTGTAAGATAATTGAAATGATCCCTTATAAAATCGCAAGAAAAATCTACAAACGCCCAGTTAAAGATCCCTTTCATAACAAAATCACTTCAATCATGCAAAAGGGTAATGATCTAATTATGCACAAAATTTAAAAATCCATATCGTAACTTTCGTACTCTACGACCTTCCTATGATACTGTATTTTAATTTTACGTACTTGAAAAAACAAAGAATGAACTCCGAAACCATATCTACTCAGCTTATATGACTGAATAAACAATATTAAGTATGCCTCATTATTTAAACACATTAAAAATTTAAAGAAGGTAATGTTGCAGATGGTCTGAAATGAGAAATAAGTAATCCCAAAATGAAAAATACAGCCACGCCTAGTTTAATAATTTTTTCTTATACACATTTTTCCATTAAATAATAGTTATGTTGCTTTGTTCAAATATGATAATTGCATATGCCGATATTCAAAATGTCGGCGACGCAGAGTAACTCTTCAACGATACGTACACGGGATATTCAATTCTAACAAACTGAACTTGATTACATTTCATTTTTTAAAATTAAAATTATTTACCTGAACAAATGTGACTTTCATCATAGCTTTCACTGTCCATGCTCTCACCGGGGCCACAGTTTCAGGCCTTCTAATTGCTTTCCACCGGGTTGAGGTACTTGCCATAATCATTACACACAGCCGTTCTGATTCAGAATATGTCAACCCATAATTTACTCCACACAATAAAGGAAGCTGCCATCTTTAAACATATTCGCAGCAGCGCCATCTAGTCCAAGGTCATATTACTAGTAAATTTTGACCCGCAGGCAATACCGTGTATTTTAAGTATTTAAAATTCTAGTATCTACAACCAGAAATTTTAATTGATGGAAATGCTAGTCATATTCCATCAAATATCATGTATATCTCAACCCTTTCTTTTGCATTTCTTAGTCATTTTTACAAGTTAAAAATTCGTCAGTCTAACTTAAGTATATTCCCATTATTTTAACATTCTTTTCTGCTTGAAAGAAAATGGTATTTTCGTCATTGTGTGATGTAGTTGTTTAAGGCAGGATATAGTACCCGAGCTGCATGTTAATATAAGTAGTTGAGTTTTTTATTTTTTCCTCGCTCGTTATCTTTTATTCGACTCTGACGTGAACCTCCGTATTTTAAACCTGTTCTGTATACTCGCGAAAATAATTTATTTAGTAACTTGATCGCAAAACCACGAGGAAAATAATCTGAAATTAAACTTCTAAACTCAGATATAAAATTATTCTGACAAAGTATATGAGGGGGAAAGCGACAAATTATAAATAGCGTTTAATGAATTAAAAAATAAAGAGCCTTTGTGAAATACGCCTTAAAAGTTACGAAAGTTATGATGCTACCGCAAAAGATGAATTGGAGGGCGTGGAATTATTTGCATTTGGTGGTTTCCATAAAATAATATTGCTATAGTTGTTATCATCTGTATACGGACAGAAGTAATTCCTCGCGGCATAGCAGAAGATGATTTGCTTAAAGCTCATAATTTTGCATATATCTTTCAATGAGAAAATACTTCATGGTATTCAAATAATGGAGCATTTGTGTTGCACACTGCGCTCCGAGGCTCTTCCACCGTTAGGAATCGAACCTAACGACTAAGCGGCCGCTCACCGGTGACAGCCGAAATGAACAACTGAAATGAAAATTACAAAAAGAAACACAAAATGAAATTTCTCTTCCATTCGGCAGTTTGTTTTATTGAGGGTAATTTTAATTAATATATTTTTGTTCGTTGTAAAGATTCAGAATTGGTTATTAATTTGAATATTTATATAATTTGATCAGCAATTGCAAATCATCATGAAAGAAGACAGTTGTCGGAATATTGTCTATAGCGGGGGGGGGGAGGAACGAATGAAAATCACGTTTTTATTATTTAACGCTCATCCGCTAAATTACTTGAAGAACAATGGTTATTTTATTGTGGGGTGAATGAAATTTTTGACGCCGTATATCAGTGGTGCTCAATGTTTTCATTGATGCGATCCCACTGAAGAATTGTTTTTAATCGGAGATTTCATGTTGGCATGTAAACGAAACAAATAATCCCAAATTTTTATTACGTATGCATTTCTGAGACCATTTGAGATGAGACATTGAACGACCACAGTAAGAAAAAGTTGAAATAATTAGTTTCCATTAATTGCTCTTTGAATTTAACCTCTTTGAAGAGTTACGAAGTGGACCTTAATTTAGAACAGCAATTAACTGTAAATATTTCTTTCATAAATGCCTATAATATTAATCAACTGAAAGCAAATCCAAAAAACTAAAATCGCAAGTTTAGGGAAGGCTTAAATAGTATAGCCCCAAAACAGTAACGATGGTACAACTGAACTTTAAAATATCTGGAATAACTGGGACCGTACTCATAAGTATATAATGAAAAAAAAAAAAAAAAAAAAAAAATAGGTAATTAGATTCCTTTTTCCCCTGTAAAAACAAACACAGTAGAATGTCCGAAATCTGGACGTCCAATATTTGAACCTCAGGACCACCAGCCAAAAATAAATAAATAAAATAATAAAAAATGTTTTCCCTTGGGTAAAGTCTAGGAGTGGAGAAATAATGACAAGAAGAAGCAGATGTGTCGTAAGTGCGATTTTTCTCCGAAGTAATTGAGATTCCTGTATGTTACTTTTTTAAACCCTTGCTGGCTAGGGAGTCCTACCTGGCCAAAAACAATGCGTTAATTGGCGTTGTATTGTTATTGGCCAGGATCTCCCTTTCGGCCCTTGAATAGGTGTTGGAGGGCATGGTCATCGCTACGTCCGGTGCAATCATTGGCAGCTAAATTCCGTTGCCCGGTACTTCCCTAAATTCTAAAAATGTTGCCGCCTTTCAATTCTGCTGCTCAGTTCCTCTCTTAAATTCTAAAAATTACGCCATCCGTAATTTGTTGCTGCTTGGTGATCCTCTAAATTCTAACATATTTGCCATATTTTTTAAATCTGCCGTAACTAATATTTTTTCAACAAACATCATGCAGTTAAGAAAAAAGGTGAATTTTTTTAACTATATTTCTGTTAAGCAAAATACAAAACACTAATAAATTAAAAATACGAAATTATTTCTTATTCGCATAAACACACAACTATGCCAACGAAACTTAAACAAGGAAATAAATTTTTATCTTGTAAGCTGTAAAATGAACAAATAATTTTGTTTTCATTTTTGCTGTATTAAGATTTAAAAAAAAAAAAAAAAAAAAAAAAAAAAAAAAATTGTTTTTAATTTGGATACAACAACAAAAAAATTAACTGATTTCTGGTCTACAAAAAACTTTTTTTTTTTTTATTATTTTTTTTATGGAAGGAAAAAATGCTAGTGTAAAATACAAAATTTGGGGAAAGGGTATTTTGTATTATTATTATTTACGCGATCCGCCCTAAGACACTATACGGTAGGGATGCCTTTATGGAGGATTTTCTGAGGGAAACGGCTCATATTAACACGTTACAAATGAGGAAAACAACGAAGACGTCCATGGCAGCCAGTCTGTTCGCCCGACTCGAATCTCAAACCGAACTACCAGTGTTCAGCTACTTCACCGCTCGGCCGCTGCTGGGTCAATATGTTGTAGATTTTAAATAAAATTCTGTTTAACCCTTATTTTTTCAGGAAGGCAAAAAAACAGCCAATTTAAGAAGAATTTATTTATTATTATTATTATTATTATTAATATTATTTTTTTTTTGCTTACTTGTTCCTATTATAGGAGGACTATATTAACTGTTCTTGAAATTGAGAGTTTTATTTAAAATTGATGCCAATCTAAATTTTCTTTTTTTTTTTTAGTCCAAATGGGCTTAGGGACTATCCCTTAAGTGCCGTTCCCACTGGGGTTTATCTGAGCTAACGGAGTCGGTTCCATGTGTCAACTAGCTCCGCTGTGCCTGCAGTTCAGATCTTTCAACTTGCTGCTCTATGGAAAAAAAGTGGTTTTGGAGATGGGTCGACTACGTTAGTTGTGTTCGTTAGCTTAGATAAACCCCAGTGGGAACGGCCCTTAAAGGGCCGCCCTGTATTATATTATATTTGAAGAAATTAAATAATGAAGAATCTGCATAAATGTATGTATGTTTCTCGCATTGGGATAAAACAACGGTACCTAGAGCCATCCAATTTTGAATGACGTAATCCTATTGCGAATATGAGCATCTGGAAGCCCAAATTTGAAATTAGGAATTTGTTTTATGATCGATTTCATATTTTGTAAAACTTAACGAATTTTTGATTAACAAGCTCAAGGATTTCAAAGCGAGGCATGGCAACGTTGTACAGAAAAAATATTTTTATCTCCAACGCCTGAGATTGTATATCGGAAATTCTAAAGATATGCTCAATTTAAAATTATTTTGCGATATTGTTTTTGAACAGAATTTTATGTTTTAAGTGCGAAGAACGTGATATTTAATGAATAAAGATAACACACAAAATGGTAAAAAAAAGTCTCTTTGGACTTAATTTCTGAAAATTTTCAGTTCCCTTCCCCTTCTTTATTTTCTCACGAAGCTATTTCCTTTATAAATCTGGCTAATAACCTGAACAATGCGACATTAATTAGTGGAGCTACGTTTATATTTTTTAAAAACTTACAATTGTAAAGGGAAAAATGATTTAAATAACGAAAATTAAATGCGTGTACTTAAATTAGAAAACCTTACTAATTGAGGCCCAGAGACGAAATTTAAGCAGAGAGCCACCCTTCCCAGAATCCAACTCCGGTTCTTCTAAATTCTCGCATGACGAACTCTACTGCTTTCCTAAAACAAACTGCGACACTGAGAGAAAATTCTGCTATTATTTCAACAGTTATGTATTTCAACAGTTTCTAATTGTATTTAACTGGACTATTCAGATACGGCAAAGAAAAACTGGCTCATATTCACGTTACACATGCGGGAAAATTACTAAGACCCCCAGGCAGCCAGCCCATCTGCCATTTGAACTGGATCGAATTACCAGCGTTGAGTGATTTGTTTCGAGCGCGACAATATGAGATACTGAATGAATGTCTTCCTTTTCAGAGTACAAGTAAAATACTCTGTGAAACTTGAACAGCTGAGGAAGCAAATCCTCGAGTCAAAATACTATCCTTTCAGAAATGAAAATTTTTATAACTGCACCCATACGGTCAAGCAGACTTGGGCTGCCTTTATCTGGTTAAGATAACCTTAAATAGATTAGAAGCAAAAATAAAAATGCGATTTTATTTTTTTCTTTAGCAAAAATAAATAGATTAGAAGCAAAAATAAAAATGAGATTTTATTTTTTTCTTTAGCAAATTTTATTTTTTTTTTTTTTTCTTTAGCAAAAATAAATAGATTAGAAGCAAAAATAAAAATGAGATTTTTTTTTTTTTTTTTTTTTTTCTAGCTTAGAAAAATATTGTTTAAAATATTTACTTTTCTTTTATCACTGGTACCATGTACTGTTAATATTATTTACTCATCTTACAACTGTTTTATAATATTATTTAATTTTAATAGTACTTTCTAAAATTTACTCTTATTTTACTCAATTTTCATTTTTTTATTATGCCTTTTATTTGTTATGATACTTTAATTTATATTTTACCTCTTCATCGTTAATTTAACTTCATTAATTTTTTAATTAATTTCATTAATTTGTTATCTATCTTTTTTAATTTTATTTAAGCATGCAATATTATTTTGTTA